TATCAATAACACATAAGCCACTCCCATACTATACGAACGATACACATTGTGGTACTGTATCAACATGACATAGAAACACTTCTATACTTCACAATTGATAACGATATACATTTTAGTGCTATATCAAATCAATTTAAACACTTCCATAATCAACACTTGATACACATTGTAGTGCTGTATCAATGTCACACGAAATCCGGTTTACAGGTCCATCCCCCATCTTCCAATAAACCGTGGAGTACATCCTTCATCTCCTCCCACACAATGCAATGTATAGAAACAATTATCATATACAAATTAAATCAATCAATATACATTTTAGTGCTGTATTGTACCAACCACCATATTCAATGGCTTACTCAATTGATTAGTTTTAGTTTGCCTAATCATCATGCATTGTCTACAACAATCAAGACTATCCTCCACCGACAGTCCAAAACAGTTATTTCTAAACATAAAATAAATGCACCAAATGGATATATTATCAACATTCAACTTTGGTGAGCGATTAAATGAATCTAACTACACCCGTTAATCCCATAATCTCTTTCAATTTGAATACTCTCAATTCAATTCCTTATTTCTCAAAATTAATTATACAAATTAATTTATCCAACTAATTAGGGCATTTTCCCATAATTAACATAACAACTCCAAGGTTCCACTTTCATCCATAGTTCATCATCTATCTCATTTCTCTATGCCAAACATGCATATAGGTTTAATTATAAATAAAACCCCATCTTTTGTAAAATTACACAAAGACCCAAACTTTCTCAAAATTATCCAAAATCCCCCAACATATCAAAATGCTAAAATTCAAAGACAAAGCTCATAAAGAGGAGTAGGATATCCCTACCTCGAAGTTAGGGCTCAAACGGGAAAATTGAAGAAAACCAAAATGCTCTAAACTCCAAGATCCACGGATCAAAACGAAGCCCTCGACGATCAACATACTTTTTAGAAAGGCCGGAGGATAGGGAGACACTCTAACTAGATCAAACCCTAGAGAGAAGGGAGATCCTAGAGAGAGAAGCTCTCAAAAAGTGTTTTTAGAAAGTAAGAGAGAGAGAGAATGTAAAAAATGATTTTAAAACGCCCAGCTGCCAATTGATATACGACATTCCCGCTCGAGCGGATAACAGGACGCTTGAGCGTCAAGAACAGAAAATTGGGTCCGCTCGAGCGCAAGAATGCCCGCTCGAGTGCCAAGACACAAAGACAAAGCACACCCGCTCGAGCGTGAAAGACCAGTCCGCTCGAGCGTAGATTTTCATCTTCCAGAACTTTCACCAACGAGGTACTACCCGCTCGAGCGCCAACAAGCCCGCTCGAGCGCAACCCGCTCGAGCGCAAGAAACCCGCTCGAGCGTAGAAAACACACCTGCAGAAGCAGGGACACGAAATGCTGGAAGGGTGTAAACCCCGCTCGAGCGCAAAATGACCCGCTCGAGCGAACCACTCAAAAACTGGGCAACAACAATGGGAGCCAAAGCTCTACCAACCTGTAACAACCAAGCCCAACACATCCTAAAACTCAAACAAATGGATATAAAGGACGACAACAAGATAGATACAACTACCAACTCCATGGAACCTAGTCCGGAATACAACTGAACAGAAAAGGGACAACCGGGATCGCTATACACAATTTAAAACTTTTTGTTTAATTCCTTTGTATATACTTTTGAACATATTTAACTTTTATTTATGAAACATATGACATTATTCCATTCAATATGTGGTTGTGATTCAAAGTATAGTATATAGTGTGTATTACATTCTCGAAATATGCGTACAAAAATAATATTGATTATTCTTCAAATATGTCGAACCCTTTTTTTATCACACGCATTAACTATGATGAGAAATGCACATAACATGACTTAAAATCTGTGATCTAAATGTTTAGTATCATAGGTTTTATTAGTAATTAATTACACTTAAAACATGTGATCTAAATGTTATTAATCACTTAAAAGATGTGATCTAAATATTTATTATCACAGGTTTTATTAGTTATTAATCACACTTAAAATCTGTGACCTAAATGTTATTAATCACACTTAAAGATGTGATCTAAATGTTTATTATCACAGGTTTTATTAGTTTTTAATCACACTTAAGAGATGTGATCTAAATGTTAGTAATCACACTTAAAACGTGTGATTAAAAATTGTCATTTTTAATCACACGTTTTAAGTGTGATTACTAACATTTAGATCACATCTCTTAAGTGTGATTAAAAACTAATAAAACCTGTGATAATAAACATTTAGATCACATCTTTAAGTGTGATTAATAACATTTAGGTCACAGATTTTAAGTGTGATTAATAACTAATAAAACCTGTGATAATAAATATTTAGATCACATCTTTTAAGTGATTAATAACATTTAGATCACATGTTTTAAGTGTAATTAATTACTAATAAAACCTATGATACTAAACATTTAGATCACAGATTTTAAGTCATGTTATGTGCATTTCTCATCATAGTTAATGCGTGTGATAAAAAAAGGGTTCGACATATTTGAAGAATAATCAATATTATTTTTGTACGCATATTTCGAGAATGTAATACACACTATATACTATACTTTGAATCACAACCACATATTGAATGGAATAATGTCATATGTTTCATAAATAAAAGTTAAATATGTTCAAAAGTATATACAAAGGAATTAAACAAAAAGTTTTAAATTGTGTATAGCGATCCCGGTTGTCCCTTTTCTGTTCAGTTGTATTCCGGACTAGGTTCCATGGAGTTGGTAGTTGTATCTATCTTGTTGTCGTCCTTTATATCCATTTGTTTGAGTTTTAGGATGTGTTGGGCTTGGTTGTTACAGGTTGGTAGAGCTTTGGCTCCCATTGTTGTTGCCCAGTTTTTGAGTGGTTCGCTCGAGCGGGTCATTTTGCGCTCGAGCGGGGTTTACACCCTTCCAGCATTTCGTGTCCCTGCTTCTGCAGGTGTGTTTTCTACGCTCGAGCGGGTTTCTTGCGCTCGAGCGGGTTGCGCTCGAGCGGGCTTGTTGGCGCTCGAGCGGGTAGTACCTCGTTGGTGAAAGTTCTGGAAGATGAAAATCTACGCTCGAGCGGACTGGTCTTTCACGCTCGAGCGGGTGTGCTTTGTCTTTGTGTCTTGGCACTCGAGCGGGCATTCTTGCGCTCGAGCGGACCCAATTTTCTGTTCTTGACGCTCAAGCGTCCTGTTATCCGCTCGAGCGGGAATGTCGTATATCAATTGGCAGCTGGGCGTTTTAAAATCATTTTTTACATTCTCTCTCTCTCTTACTTTCTAAAAACACTTTTTGAGAGCTTCTCTCTCTAGGATCTCCCTTCTCTCTAGGGTTTGATCTAGTTAGAGTGTCTCCCTATCCTCCGGCCTTTCTAAAAAGTATGTTGATCGTCGAGGGCTTCGTTTTGATCCGTGGATCTTGGAGTTTAGAGCATTTTGGTTTTCTTCAATTTTCCCGTTTGAGCCCTAACTTCGAGGTAGGGATATCCTACTCCTCTTTATGAGCTTTGTCTTTGAATTTTAGCATTTTGATATGTTGGGGGATTTTGGATAATTTTGAGAAAGTTTGGGTCTTTGTGTAATTTTACAAAAGATGGGGTTTTATTTATAATTAAACCTATATGCATGTTTGGCATAGAGAAATGAGATAGATGATGAACTATGGATGAAAGTGGAACCTTGGAGTTGTTATGTTAATTATGGGAAAATGCCCTAATTAGTTGGATAAATTAATTTGTATAATTAATTTTGAGATATGAGGAATTGAATTGAGAATATTCAAATTGAAAAGATTATGGGATTAACGGGTGTAGTTGGATTCATTTAATCGCTCACCCAGGTTGAATGTTGATAATATTTCCATTTGGTGCATTTATTTTCTGTTTAGAAATAACTGCTTTAGGCTATCGGTGGAGAATAGTCTTGATTGTTGTAGACAATGCATGATGATTAGGCAAACTAAAACTAATCGATTGAGTATGCTATCGAATATAGCGGTTGGAATAATACATCGACTTTATGTATTGATTGTTTATGTATATGATCTATGTTTATATACATTGTGTATGTGGAAGGAGATAGGGGATGTACTCCACGGTTTAGGGGAAGATAGGGGATGGACCTCCAAGCCGGATTGTATATGACATTGATATAGCACTACCATGTGTATCAAGTGTTGATTATGGAAGTGTTTAAATTGATTTGATATAACAATAAAATGTATATCGTTATCAATTGTGAAGTATAGAAGTGTTTATATGTTATGTTGATACAGCACCAAAATGTGTATCGTTCGTATAGTATGGGAGTGGTTTATGTGTTATTGATACAGCATCAAAATGTGTATCCACCATGAATTTCGAAAGTGTTTTTAAGATGAGTCTTATTCTCATTAAGTTATTTGGCTAAGTTTTGAGCCTTGTTTTCAAACTCAAGGTTGAAAAAGAAATGAGAAATAAAATGTAACATGGACTTAAATGTCATGAGACAGGAATGTTATATAAGTGGATGTACCGGTATTGACCATCTATAAACTGCTAATCTTTTAGTCATTGTTCATAGCTGGTTTAGTGCATTTCTGCTGGGCTGTGGCTCACCCTTTATGAGACATCATTTTCAGGTACAGGTAGCATGCCACCTCTAAGAACATAGCTTGGGAGGGTAGAGGCAGACAGACTGCTTTTGTTGTTTGCTTTCTTTTGATGTATTACATGTAAATTCAAGCCAAGGGCTTAATATGTATTGAGTTAGCACTCTTCTTTTTGTAACCAAGTGTTAACTTGGAAAGCTGTAAGCCCATAGGGCATTTGCTTTTGTTGTTAACATGTAATGCTTTTGTAAGAACTACTCAGATTAATGGAAAGATGGTTATCTTCTTATATCCTTGCATGTCTAAAATGATGGGTTTTACGTATTATTTCGAGGGCGTTACACTGTGCTTACATATATTTAAAAAAAAAAAAAAAAAACTTGAAAAACTTGAAAAACTAAGTTCTTGAATTCTTTGATCATATTTTGCATCTCTCCAAGAAATTTCTGACCTGAAAAATAAAAACACAAATTAATTCAGAAACCGCTAAAAGCATACGAATAAACTAACTATTTGTAGAGATTGTTCTAGTCTTACAAAAGATAAAGTTCGACTGATCACACCCCTTCAAATGTCTTATCATTAAATACCTCTAGCATGACATGAAGCATGTAAAACAAAATGTCACTTTACCCACAGAAATTGCAAGTTCAACAAAAATTTTAATTTACTATAACCAACAACTTAGTTTAAGAGGCTCTATCCATCTCAAATATTTAATGTTCTACAAAAGAAATGCAATTGAATGTTGATTATGTAAATACCTTGAGTGCATTTCAGATATCTATGACCATTCTTCACCATCTTCTCCATTTGAGCTCCTAGAAAATTCTGGACGCTTGGGAGGTTGACCAGAGTTGCCTTAGAAAGAAGAAAAACAACTCAACTACTTGGGCATACACATATTAGTAATTGCACATTTGTAAAAAAATGTTCTAGATTCCATCATATACAAACTCACATAGAGATATAATCCCAAAGTATAAATTGGGGGGTGTTCAAAATTCCCATATTGATAATCTTATATATCAGAGAGTACTGCCTAACAGTTTATTCCTGATAAATAGAGTCTTCAAGAAAAATTTAAAGGATATACTTTCATAACTTTTTTTGCTCAAAGCAGAAGGCGAGGACACAAACACCATTATATTACTTGATACAAAGAATTTCAAAGAAAGTAATGCCTAATACTCAGGTTTCAGAATGGCCTACAAAAAATTACATGCCATACCATCTGTGGCTTGAGCAATGGATGGATTCTTCTCAAGTAATGCCTGTCAAAATAAGCATAACAAGTAAACAAGGGAACGGAGATTGACAATTACATCAAATTTTAATAACGTTTCAAAAGCATCAACTACTTATCACATTGTTAGAATCCTACACAACACAAAAGGAAAAGAAAAAAGGCAAGTAAATGGGTAAGATAATCTCTTACCTCCTGTAATTCCAGTAGAGAATCCAAAGTCTTCTTCGATGAGGTGATCAGATCTAAATATGCTTCATTCACCTTACTGTCTAAATCGCAGAATGAAGACTTGAGTGGCTCCTGCACAATTCGCCATGTTTCAATTATAAGGTTCCAATAGAACATAAATTACCATAGACAAACAAGATTTATCAATCAAAGAGACCCTTTGAAGTCTATTAGAACTTGAGAATGCTTTTTTGCAGAAAGAATCTTAACTCAAGAGTCTTTGACTTGTTAGAATCCAATCAAAGAAGAGTACATGTAACACAACACAAAAATACGATTAAAAACCCAAGGAAATCTTATCAATTTGGAAAATAATCTTGTCAACATGTAGGGAACCAAAGTGCATATGTTGATAATAATAAAAATCAGGCTATTCTATACATACCTTTGTAGGAAAATTTCTAGAATTTGATTGACCTGCAACACACAAGCAAAAAATATCAACCACAACACAAAATGTGGAGCTACTAATGCATCAAAATCCAAATAATCGATACCTTATGTTTTCTATTTTGCTGGCTCATAACTTCATCTGCTTGATAAAAAGAAGTTCTACTGCTTCGATATGGAAACTACAAGAGCTCGCTCAATTTGTTGCTCTTCCCATTAACAGTCCAGTGCTAATGCCTATTTCAATTGAACGTTGCTACTTCTTGAAGAGGCCTTGTTGAAGCCATCAAATTGCTTTCCAGATCCTTGTTTGATCATTTAAGGCTTTCCATAACCTTATTTGCATCGATGGTGAAAATGGAAGCAAACTCTTTCAACAGTTTAAATCTCGCAACACTACGATAACAAGTTCTAAACAAAAATAGTTGAAATAGAGCACCAGACAGAATGACAGACATTTTATTTCTATATATTTTACACACAACAAGCTTAAGTATTTACACACAAGTTTTAAAAAAAAAAAATTTAAAAAAAAACCATAAACAAACAAAACCAAAAACCATAGGCTCACAATTATATCAAAAAAATTCAAATCGCATAAGAAGCTTTACAGATTTATACTTCTCTCCCTTGTGACTATGGAGTGGAACTGCTTGAATTCTATGGCTCACAATTCCATTCTGTGGATCATTAACTTCTCTCTTAATTTAGAAACTGAACAAAATATTTTAAGAAGAAACTATATCCACTTTTTCCCTGAAACTATGACAAATAACAGAAATGGAAAATTGAGCATTTTTTAATGCCATGGTTCCTTATACACCTTTTTTGTCTGAAATAGGACTAGCAAACATTATCATAGTTATGACTTTTAATAAGAGAAATAGCAGGTCTCTATTGTAATCAAAATGAATATTATCCAAGACATTGACAACAATTACAATATTGATGACTCTATCAATTTACCCTTGTATAGAAATCTGGTGGGGAATATGTATCAAAGTGTGTGTGACAGAAATCAAAATACCATCCTTCACCCATATAAACAGTCACCTGTTTAGAAGCAACAAAATTCAAATCAACTAAAAAGAATAGATGAAGTAAAGTAAATACACAGAAATATATAAAGAATTATGAGGGGTAAAGAATGGAAAGAGAATAACTTTTTAGCAGAAGTGCAAGGAAATCGAATATGGTTAAAAGTCAGGGTAATAGCTGACTCACCTTCAAAGTTGTTTTGAATGGTAATGTAGCTTTAGGATCGAAGACCTCATTATTTGGACCGACCTTTAACAAAAAATCGAGCTTTTTAACATATCCATAACCACCATTGGCCCTAAACATCCCATGCATCAGCCACCATGATCGTCAATAGCCCTATCAAAAAAAAAAAACAAACAAACAAAAAAAGACATTCTTGGTATTTATTTATTATTATTATTTTTTTGTCTATTTAAACTTCCAATAAATAAATCTCCAAAGCTCAAATCAATCATCCAGTCAAAGCACAGTTAATATATAGATTGGTGAGTTCAATTGCAAACAACTTATGGTGCAAATAATGATGCGATTAGTCATTCCTTCAAACCATGCTATAGAAGGCTAAAAATTTGATGACTACACTATTATGGGGGATTCTTTTGGTGAACGTATTTAAGTGTTAAACCATCCACAAACACATTTCAAAATCATAGAACAATCTTTCTTATTACTAGCACAAGCTAATACTCTGTTGCAACTCAATCTAGTGTTAGATCTATTATTTCCAAAGCAAGCAATGCTAATGCTGATCTATTATACAACTGGGTAGTCATTTGTCGAATGCACATAAAAAAAATAGAGGTGGAGTTAGGGATTTTACTTTTTTGACAAGAGTTATCCTTGGCACTAAAAAAAAAAGTGCATGTGTAAAAAGAATTTTCAAGACAAAAATAAAAAGAAAAAGCTGAAAGCATGAAAAAGACCTGCAAAATGCCCATCCAACGTATTCCTTCAATGTCAACACCATATGTCAAAGATGTTGTTCCATGCAGCTAACCACCTGAAACGAAAGAACACAAGTTCTTAAATTCTACAACTATACCTGGAAATCATAAGGTCAAATTTATGTAACAGAAATGATATGAGATGACAGCAACATAATATAGTTCAAACTGTAAGGCAACAACAAGACCACAGACCAAGAAAATGTGTTAAACCAACAAGGGAAATTGGCCGCACACTCTCATATCTTGTCCTTTATTTATTTTCAAAAGTGAAATTTGCAGCAATTATACTTCCATCATTCATGGTAAATGAATGTTCTACATAAAACATAATGTCAATTGATCCAGGAGAACACTGACCCGAAACAGTTGCTTAGGGTTGAAGACACTAACTACATAGCTTAAGAAGAGGATGACTAGTAAGCTTGCAATTTTGTTAACACTCTTGTTGGAAATTTGACAAACACATTATCTACAAAAGTTTGTAGATAATGGTTAACAACAGTTCAATCCTAATCGCTACATTCATTGAGAGACTTCCATTCTCAAAGAAATTTACCTCAAAGCTAATCAAAATTATTGTTAAAAGCATTCAATCCAAACAAACCCATCAATAAAAAATGCCCACAAATATTAATGTAAAATCATAAAAAAAAAAACACAATTGATTAAATAAAACAAAAAAATCAGGCACACATGCAAAATGGGTCTAATAAGAGAAGAAAAAAAAATTGATAAGAAGTAAAAGTTTTCAAATTGAAACATAGAGGAAAGAGGAATACCTGGCAAGAACAATGGTGGCTAACAGTGGTGTGGTAGCAGGCCAGTGATTACCCTATTTTCAAAATCACAAAGTAGGGTCTAGGCTTTCGATTTGAATAAGTATATATGGGCAGTTAAGTAGAGGTCTCTGTTCTATATACATAAATATAGAGAAAAATATATATAGTTGCACATAGATGTGTTTAGCAGAATCAACACACAGAGAGAGAGAGAGAGAGAGAGAGAGGGAGGGAGGAAGGCAGAAACGCTTTTTTGCTCCAATGGTTGCTGGTGTTCATGTGCAAAGTGGTAATGCTAGAGTTAAAGGATCCAACCGTGGCGACACAAGGCCGACAAGAAGAGTTGAGCTGATATTGTCAGCACTGAAGATGGACGGTCTAAAAATGGTGGAGGCAATGGAGAGTTGAAAGAAATAAATTGAATCACATAACCCATTATCTGAGGGGAAACTCAGAAATCAATTGAATCACACAACCCATTATTAGAAGTAGTGTGGGTAGAAATCAGATCAGAGAATGAGAAAAGTAATACACTTATTTAAAATGTTTGATTAAAAAAATATTATCTCACTTATTAAATTAAATTAAGTGTGAGTAAAAAATTATTTTAATTTTTTTAATTATACTTTTAATAAAAGTGACGTATTTTTAAATCTTCTTATGTGATCTTTAATCACATGTTAATTAGAAAGTAATTAAAAAATATATATATATAATCACATCTAATTGAAAAGTGACATAAAAAATAAATATTATCACACTTAATCAAATCAAGTGTGATTAAAATGTCAATCTAATTTTTTTCTCACACTTTCAACAAATGTGAGATATTTTGTAGCGTGTATGCGCCTCAATTTCTGTACACTTGAATCAACCAGTTCTGTCAAACCCGTTGGAGAATAGGGAGAGCTATGCATAAAATTTAGGAGAAAAGTGACATTCTTGTTGCTTCCCATGAAGATTTTACCCCTTGTTCAGCATTTGAGAACCTTGAACTGTGTGAAGGTAGAAGTTTGAAGAACACAAAGGGGAGATCCCTGTCAGAAATAGACGAGTCACTACTATAAAATGGTTAAGGATCACACTTTGACAAATAAAAAA